TTGTGACGAGCCGCTAGCGTTGTGTTTGTGACGATCTGCTAGCAGCGCGTCAGCTGCTAGCATTGTGTTTGCGACGAGCTGCTAGCATTGTGTTTGCGACGAGCTGATAGCATTGTGTTTGAGAGGAGCTGCTAGCATTGTGTTTTCGACGAGCTGCTAGCATTGTGTTTGAGACGAGCTGCTAGCATTGTGTTTGCAACGAGCCGCTAGCATTGTGTTTGCGACGAGCCGCTAGCATTGTGTTTGAGACGATCTGCTAGCATTGTGTTTGAGACGAGCTGCTAGCATTGTGTTTGAGACGAGCCGCTAGCGTTGTGTTTGAGACGAGCTGCTAGCGTTGTGTTTGAGACGAGCCGCTAGCGTTGTGTTTGAGACGAGCTGCTAGCGTTGTGTTTGTGACGAGCCGCTAGCGTTGTGTTTGTGACGAGCCGCTAGCGTTGTGTTTGTGGTGAGCCGCTAGCGTTGTGTTTGTGACGATCTGCTAGCAGCGCGTCAGCTGCTAGCATTGTGTTTGCGACGATCTGCTAGCATTGTGTTTGAGACGAGCTGCTAGCATTGTGTTTGCGACGAGCTGCTAGCATTGTGTTTGAGACGAGCTGCTAGCATTGTGTTTGAGACGAGCTGCTAGCATTGTGTTTGAGACGAGCCGCGAGCGTTGTGTTTGTGACGAGCCGCTAGCGTTGTGTTTGTGACGATCTGCTAGCAGCGCGTCAGCTGCTAGCATTGTGTTTGCGACGAGCTGCTAGCATTGTGTTTGCGACGAGCTGATAGCATTGTGTTTGAGAGGAGCTGCTAGCATTGTGTTTTCGACGAGCTGCTAGCATTGTGTTTGAGACGAGCTGCTAGCATTGTGTTTGCAACGAGCCGCTAGCATTGTGTTTGCGACGAGCTGCTAGCATTGTGTTTGAGACGAGCTGCTAGCATTGTGTTTGCAACGAGCCGCTAGCATTGTGTTTGCGACGAGCCGCTAGCATTGTGTTTGAGACGATCTGCTAGCATTGTGTTTGAGACGAGCTGCTAGCATTATGTTTGCGACAAGCTGCTAGCATTGTGTTTGAGACGAGCCGCTAGCGTTGTGTTTGAGACGAGCCGCTAGCGTTGTGTTTGAGACGAGCCGCTAGCGTTGTGTTTGAGACGAGCCGCTAGCGTTGTGGTTGTGGCGAGCCGCTAGCGTTGTGTTTGTGACGATCTGCTAGCAGCGCGTCAGCTGCTAGCATTGTGTTTGCGACGAGCCGCTAGCATTGTGTTTGCGACGAGCCGCTAGCGTTGTGTTTGCGACGAGCTGCTAGCATTGTGTTTGAGACGAGCCGCTAGCGTTGTGTTTGCGACGAGCTGCTAGCATTGTGTTTGAGACGAGCTGCTAGCATTGTGTTTGAGACGAGCCGCTAGCGTTGTGTTTGCGACGAGCCGCTAGCGTTGTGTTTGAGACGAGCCGCTAGCATTGTGTTTGAGACGAGCTGCTAGCATTGTGTTTGAGACGATCCGCTAGCATTGTGTTTGCGACGAGCTGCTAGCATTGTGTTTGAGACGAGCTGCTAGCATTGTGTTTGAGACGAGCTGCTAGCATTGTGTTTGCGACGAGCTGCTAGCATTGTGTTTGAGACGATCCGCTAGCATTGTGTTTGCGACGAGCTGCTAGCATTGTGTTTGAGACGAGCTGCTAGCATTGTGTTTGAGACGAGCTGCTAGCATTGTGTTTGAGACGAGCTGCTAGCATTGTGTTTGAGACGAGCTGCTAGCATTGTGTTTGAGATGAGCCGCGAGCGTTGTGTTTGAGACGAGCCGCTAGCGTTGTGTTTGAGACGAGCCGCTAGCGTTGTGTTTGAGACGAGCTGCTAGCATTGTGTTTGAGACGAGCCGCTAGCGTTGTGTTTGTGATGAGCCGCTAGCGTTGTGTTTGTGACGAGCCGCTAGCGTTGTGTTTGAGACGAGCCGCTACCGTTGTGTTTGAGACGAGCCGCTAGCGTTGTGTTTGTGGTGAGCCGCTAGCGTTGTGTTTGTGACGATCTGCTAGCAGCGGGTCAGCTGCTAGCATTGTGTTTGCGACGAGCTGCTAGCATTGTGTTTGCGACGAGCTGCTAGCATTGTGTTTGAGACGAGCCGCTAGCATTGTGTTTGAGACGAGCCGCTAGCGTTGTGTTTGAGACGAGCCGCTAGCGTTGTGTTTGAGACGAGCCGCTAGCATTGTGTTTGTGACGAGCCGCTAGCGTTGTGTTTGTGGCGATCTGCTAGCAGCGCGTCAGCTGCTAGCATTGTGTTTGCGACGATCTGCTAGCATTGTGTTTGAGACGAGCCGCTAGCATTGTGTTTGAGACGATCTGCTAGCATGGTGTTTGTGACGAGCTGCTAGCATTGTGTTTGTGACGATCTGCTAGCAGCGCGTCAGCTGCTAGCATTGTGTTTGCGACGATCTGCTAGCATTGTGTTTGAGACGAGCTGCTAGCATTGTGTTTGCGACGAGCTGCTAGCATTGTGTTTGCGACGAGCTGCTAGCATTGTGTTTGAGACGAGCTGCTAGCATTGTGTTTGAGACGAGCTGCTAGCATTGTGTTTGCGACAAGCTGCTAGCATTGTGTTTGAGACGAGCCGCTAGCGTTGTGTTTGAGACGAGCCGCTAGCGTTGTGTTTGAGACGAGCCGCTAGCGTTGTGTTTGAGACGAGCCGCTAGCGTTGTGTTTGTGACGAGCCGCTAGCGTTGTGTTTGTGGCGAGCCGCTAGCGTTGTGTTTGTGACGATCTGCTAGCAGCGCGTCAGCTGCTAGCATTGTGTTTGCGACGAGCCGCTAGCATTGTGTTTGCGACGAGCCGCTAGCATTGTGTTTGAGACGATCCGCTAGCATTGTGTTTGCGACGAGCTGCTAGCATTGTGTTTGAGACGAGCTGCTAGCATTGTGTTTGAGACGAGCTGCTAGCATTGTGTTTGAGACGAGCTGCTAGCATTGTGTTTGAGATGAGCTGCTAGCATTGTGTTTGCGACGAGCTGCTAGCATTGTGTTTGAGACGAGCTGCTAGCATTGTGTTTGAGACGAGCTGCTAGCATTGTGTTTGAGACGAGCCGCGAGCGTTGTGTTTGAGACGAGCCGCTAGCGTTGTGTTTGAGACGAGCCGCTAGCGTTGTGTTTGAGACGAGCCGCTAGCGTTGTGTTTGAGACGAGCCGCTAGCGTTGTGTTTGAGACGAGCCGCTAGCGTTGTGTTTGAGACGAGCCGCTAGCGTTGTGTTTGAGACGAGCCGCTAATGTTGTGTTTGAGACGAGCCGCTAGCGTTGTGTTTGTGACGAGCTGCTAGCATTGTGTTTGAGACGAGCTGCTAGCATTGTGTTTGTGACGAGCTGCTAGCATTGTGTTTGTGACAATCTGCTAGCAGCGCGTCAGCTGCTAGCATTGTGTTTGCGACGAGCCGCTAGCGTTGTGTTTGAGACGAGCCGCTAGCGTTGTGTTTGTGACGATCTGCTAGCAGCGCGTCAGCTGCTAGCATTGTGTTTGAGACGAGCCGCTAGCGTTGTGTTTGTGACGATCTGCTAGCAGCGCGTCAGCTGCTAGCATTGTGTTTGCGACGATCTGCTAGCATTGTGTTTTTGACGAGCCGCTAGCGTTGTGTTTGTGACGAGCTGCTAGCATTGTGTTTGAGACGAGCTGCTAGCATTGTGTTTGTGACGAGCTGCTAGCATTGTGTTTGTGACAATCTGCTAGCAGCGCGTCAGCTGCTAGCATTGTGTTTGCGACGAGCTGCTAGCATGGTGTTTGCGACGATCTGCTAGCATTGTGTTTGAGACAAGCTGCTAGCATTGTGTTTGCGACGAGCTGCTAGCATTGTGTTTGCGACGAGCTGCTAGCATTGTGTTTGAGACGAGCTGCTAGCATTGTGTTTGCGACGAGCCGCTAGCATTGTGTTTGCGACGAGCCGCTAGCATTGTGTTCGTGACGAGCTGCTAGCATTGTGTTTGCGACGAGCCGCTAGCATTGTGTTTGAGACGATCTGCTAGCATTGTGTTTGAGACGAGCTGCTAGCATTATGTTTGCGACAAGCTGCTAGCATTGTGTTTGCGACAAGCTGCTAGCATTGTGTTTGCGACGAGCTGCTAGCATTGTGTTTGCGACGAGCCGCTAGCATTGTGTTTGCGACGAGCCGCTAGCATTGTGTTTGCGACGAGCTGCTAGCATTGTGTTTGCGACAAGCTGCTAGCATTGTGTTTGCGACGAGCTGCTAGCATTGTGTTTGCGACGAGCCGCTAGCATTGTGTTTGAGACGAGCCGCTAGCGTTGTGTTTGAGACGATCTGCCAATAGACAGAACCTGAAGGCTTGGACTCTTCTGAAGAAGGAGAATACAGGGACAACAACAAGGATCCATTTGAAGATGGGTAAGTGTAAATACTACAGTATCTATCTGTGTATATCTCACTATCACACATTTGAGACTTCTGTCTCAGGGGGTTTTCACAGTTTATAAAGGACCCTCTGTCCTTGGAACCTGTGTCCTTGGACCCTGTGTCCTTGGACCCTCTGTCCTTGGACCCTGTGTCCTTACACCCTCTGTCCTTGGACCCTCACCCTGGAGGAGGAAACCCCCTGATCTCTGATGTCTGACAGGAATATGAGAGTATGTGCATGGTGTCTCTGTGGGAGGACCACCTCCCAGCTGTCCCCTCCGTCCCCTCCATGGAGACCAGTGGGATTTCTGTCAGAAGCTGCTATTTGGGGGTTTTGGTGGATTGTAAACAGTCCTGGCTGTCAGAGAACGTCTCCTGTGTCTCATTGAGACAGTCAGTACATCTGAAGCTTTACAGACGGGGGTCTCGGTCCTCGCTCGGATCAGCAATATTCAGGGATGGATTTATAGATCAGACCTTTAACATGAGTACGTGCTGACTGGATGCTGCTGGGTCTCTGGAGGGTAATCAGAAGGAGTTATACTACATTATGAACAGACAGTGACACAGAGGGGACCAGACACCAGCCGGGACCCCTGAGATGTGTTGGTTCAGTAAATCAGAGTCAGGAAGTAGTCTCAAGGTTTATTGAAAAGTCTCACAATCAGCAACCCTGGAGGAAGGCTTTAAACTACCTGGAGTACATTGATTTAGAAACAGAGCTTTGGATATAAGTACATATTGATTTCACACAAAGACTAGCAGAGTCCAGACTGAACCTGGTCTGTCAGAGTAAATACCACCCCCCCCCCCCCCCCCTGCACTATATCTGCTATATACTGGTTTATATGGAGCCCTTAATTCCCAACAGAGTCATGATGACCAGAGTCCTGGATCAGGGTTCAGACCGGCAGAGTATCAGAGCTCAGATCATCACAGAATCAGCAGCTAGCAGCACATGAAGCGGTTTGAAGACACACACAGGACCAGGATCAGCTGCTGGGAACCAGGACCAGGATCAGTGGCAGGGAACCAGGACCAGGATCAGTGGCTGGGAACCAGGATCCGTCCTGAAAGAGAAGACGAGGACAGGGTCAACTCAAACCTTGATAACTCAGTGAACCGGTCCTTCAGAACCATGTGGGTGCAGAGGACCAGGTCTCAGGAGGAGGTCTTAGCACAGACCGGGTCTGATGGATCTGAAACTTTGAAAGTGAGCTGCTTCACCTCTGGACTTCCTCTTGTAGTAGATGAACCCGGCCAGAGATAAGGTCAGACCCAGGATCAGTCCTGCAGCTCCGATGGCTACCTTGTTCCTCTCAGACTCTGGCATGGAGGGGTCTGAGGACAGACAGGTGGAGAGAGAGAGACAGGTGAGCAGAGAGACAGGTGGAGAGACAGGTGGAGAGCAGAGAGACAGGTGGAGAGAGAGACAGGTGAGCAGAGACACAGTTGGAGAGACAGGTGGAGAGCAGAGAGACAAGTGAGCAGAGAGACAGGTGAGCAGAGAGACAGGTGAGCAGAGAGACAGGTGAGCAGAGAGAGAGACAGGTGAGCAGAGAGACACATGGAGAGACAGGTGAGCAGAGAGACAGGTGAGCAGACAGACAGGTGAGCAGACAGACAGGTGAGCAGACAGACAGGTGAGCAGACAGACATGTGATCAGACAGACAGGTATTTACCCCAGTCAGTAACCAGAGGCTCTCCCAGGCTGACGTGCTCCACCATGCAGGAGATCTTGTCTCCAGACCTGCAGACACAAAGCAGCATTCAGACTGGACCTGGACCTGGACCTGGACCTGGACCTGGACCTGGTCCTGGACCTGGACCTGGACCTGGACCTGGACCTGAGGTCACAGTCACTCCTAATAGTGGCTTCTCTGGTGCCAGAGGACAGTTTGTTACATTGCTTCATTTCTCAGAAGGTTCTGTTCTCGTTCACACGGGCCTCAAACGGACTATAAACTTTAAACACGAGTCATGTGCTCTTAAATGCTGTTCAACCATTGGTCAGACATTAAGGGGTAAAAACGCAAATCCCGACAATTTCTACCGGAGCTTTGGAGCATCGCAGGTTATTCTCATGCTGCTCTAGACTCTAGAGGACGGGGCGTATGATTATACAATCAGACGACGTGTGTTAAAGAACATGATAACACATATAATGAGAGACGTCCTGCAGTCAGGAGGAGGTCTCACCGAGGACAGGAGGCTCTGACTTTTATGTATAGTTGAAGGAGCATTTTTACTTTACACGACACTGTTCAACTCTTCATTCTGCTTCACTCTTTCACTAAAGACTTTGTAGACATCCACGTTCTTGTGACGCATAGATACTACACTTCCTGTGTTTCTGCGTTCACACCAGCTCCAGAGTTCACTAGCAAGCGGTCCGAGACCACCTCTTTCAGGACGACCAGAGTCCGGTTGTTTAGTTCCCTTCAGAGGACTGTGTTCACACCGACCCAAACGAACCGCACCAAGCGGTGAAAACGCACCAGGGTTTGATTCAACCGGACTAACAAGGCTGGTGTGAATGCGACATGAAACTAACTGGACCTGAAACTAACTGGACCTGAAACTAACTGGACCTGGACCTGGACTCACCTGGGCGTGTACTCCAGGTGGGAGTGGACCTGGACCTGGACTCACCTGGGAGTGTACTCCAGGTGGGAGTGGACCTGGACCTGGACTCACCTGGGAGTGTACTCCAGGTGGGAGTGGACCTGGACCTGGACTCACCTGGGAGTGTACTCCAGGTGGGAGTGGACCTGGACCTGGACTCACCTGGGCGTGTACTCCAGGTGGGAGTGGACCTGGATCTGGACTCACCTGGGCGTGTACTCCAGGTGGGAGTGGACCTGGTAGTACCAGTCACTGTCAGCCAGCTCTTCAGAGGAAGTGACATCAGAGGTGACTTCCTGTCCGTTCCTGATCCAGCTCACTTTGATGAGTTTGGGGTAGAACTCGTAGACGCTGCAGACCAGCATGGCCGGATGTGATCCACTGGGAGAGACCGTGGAGTGAAGCCGGACGTAGGGCTTCGCTGAAACACACATCAACAACTGCTGTTATTAACATTATTATTATTGTTATTAATATTGATGTTATTATTTGAGGTGCATCAGAACTAAGAAGTTGTTTTACAGATGGTTCTCATTAAGTTTAGTGAAGTTCCGTTATTTAATGTTGACGTTATTAAAACCACCGCTCCTCCTGTGGTCACTTTTGTTCATTGTCGAGAGAGACAGAGAGAGAGAGATATTTGGGATTGATGTGATGCTGAGAGAGCAGAGAGACACCTTCTCTAAATATAAAATATATTTGTAATGTATTTAATGAATGAAGATAGTGACTTATTAAAAACAGAAGTATCATAACCCTGCAGAGATATGAGGTGTTTCTGCTGCTGTGGCAGAGTCTCACCACCAGGTGGAGACAGAGACCCAGATCCCACACTGAGAAAGACATTAACAATGTACAGCAGCAAACCCCAATTAGCGGCCCGCGGGCCAGATCCGGCCGGCGAGAGGCAAATGCATGGCCCGCGCCGATCTACTGATTCACTTGTTATAACATATTCATGAAATGTCCGCGGTTTCGCTTTATTTTGACCTCCGTCGACACTCGTACACCTGACCCTTGATCTTATCACGTGCTTCGCGCGCTTGACTTACTCGTCACCACCTGGAATAGCGGCAAACACATATAAACAATAGCTGGCCAGCTAGCCGCCTGTCAGACCAGCCCAGCGATTGGTCAACATGACACTAACGGACCGTGGATAACTCAAACACAGGATGGAATTCTCTAAGAAGAGGAAGGTAGACCAGGAGAACCGTCAGTTCAAAACGGACTGAGAAGTATTGGTTTCTTTTACCGGACCACGCCAATGCTAAACCGACTGGTTTGATTTGCATGCAGAATGTAGCTGCATCAGACAACCTGAAGCAGCACTTCACCTCTATTCATGCTGCCAGTTTTAATGCTAACTATCCAGAGAAATCTGACCAGCGCACACAAAAGATAGCAGGCTTGCTTTCATCGTACAAGCACTCTGTTTCCACGATGTCCAAAACAACATCGGCACAAGAGAGCGCAACAGCTGCCTCATTGCACGTCTCTTGGACGCTCGCTCGAGCCAAGAAGCCGCTTGCTGATGCCGAGTTGATTAAACGGTGTGCGATAGACATGGCTCGTGAAGTCTTAAAGGTTGTCGAGCTATTAAAGCAGGTGCCGCTGTCGGCTAACACAGCAACCAGAAGAGTAGAGAGAGAACAGGCTATATCCCTAGCCATAGACTCGTCCTGGGACCCAACCGACATGGAACAGCTGTCTGTGTTCGTACGATGTTTTGATAGGAAGATATTCCGGGAAGAGCTGCTGTGTTTGCTTACTCTGCCCGGGCGCACGGCCGGGGAAATAATCTTCCACGAGCTGACACAGTTCTTCGAAAAGAATGGTTTGAATGTGAGTCAAATCGTCTCAGTTGTAACCGACGGGGCTGCGTCGATGGTTGGAAAGCACCTTAACCTGCAGCTGCAAGGCAACAACCATGTCTGCGTGAGCACTGCGAGAATGACATGCAGGAAGATCCAGTAATGAAGGATTTTGTGTCAAAACTGGCCGAAAAGTTCAAGGAGCGATTTGAAAGCTCCCCTAAAACCTCAGGTGACATCCTCCTCTTCCTCAGACAGCCGCTCTCTGTGTCAGCAGACGGGCAGTGGACTGGAGAGGCAGCTCTTCAGATGGAGGTCTTAGAGATGGGAAGCTCTGAGTTGCTGAAAGCTCTTCAGATGGAGGTCTTAGAGATGAAGCTCTGAGTTGCTGAAAGCTCTTCAGATGGAGGTCTTAGAGATGAAGCTCTGAGTTGCTGAAAGCTCTTCAGATGGAGGTCTGAGAGATGAAGCTCTGAGTTGCTGAAAGCTCTTCAGATGGAGGTCTGAGAGATGAAGCTCTGAGTTGCTGAAAGCTCTTCAGATGGAGGTCTTAGAGATGAAGCTCTGAGTTGCTGAAAGCTCTTCAGATGGAGGTCTTAGAGATGAAGCTCTGAGTTGCTGAAAGCTCAAGGATGGAGGTCTTAGAGATGAAGCTCTGAGTTGCTGAAAGCTCAAGGATGGAGGTCTTAGAGATGAAGCTCTGAGTTGCTGAAAGCTCTTCAGATGGAGGTCTGAGAGATGAAGCTCTGAGTTGCTGAAAGCTCAAGGATGGAGGTCTTAGAGATGAAGCTCTGAGTTGCTGAAAGCTCAAGGATGGAGGTCTTAGAGATGAAGCTCTGAGTTGCTGAAAGCTCTTCAGATGGAGGTCTTAGAGATGAAGCTCTGAGTTGCTGAAAGCTCTTCAGATGGAGGTCTGAGAGATGAAGCTCTGAGTTGCTGAAAGCTCTTCAGATGGAGGTCTGAGAGATGAAGCTCTGAGTTGCTGAAAGCTCTTCAGATGGAGGTCTGAGAGATGAAGCTCTGAGTTGCTGAAAGCTCTTCAGATGGAGGTCTGAGAGATGAAGCTCTGAGTTGCTGAAAGCTCTTCAGATGGAGGTCTGAGAGATGAAGCTCTGAGTTGCTGAAAGCTCAAGGATGCACCAGTGTGTGACCTTTGGATCAACGTGGTTCCCCAAGCTCCTTTCAAAAACACCAGAGCTATTGCCATGTTCCTACTCACACTGTTCCCCTCAACATACATCTGCCATCAGGATGTTCTTCAATGAATGCTATCAAGAGCCAGGACAGGAGCAGACTCTCCAGTGCACACCTTGGACAGTGCCTCAGGCCACAACAGAACACAGCTTGCCTCATCCCGCCGCTCTCACTTCGCTCACTGATTGGTGAGAGAACAACTTCCATTTATTTTTGCAATTTGTCAATTCTATTGTGGTATAATAATTATTAAGACAAAAATGACCATTTTATAGTTATATTTTATATATACATTAATTTCCTAAATAAAATGCTACGCAGCGTAATTCAAAACAAATGAATAAAATGAGAGCAAACCTGGGATAATGCAGGGCCTAACCCAACAGCCACAAACTGGTCACATTTAATACAACTAGGGCTGTGCAATTAATCGTATTTTAATCGCAATTACGATTTTGGCCTGCCACAATTACGAAAACAACATAATCGAAAAAAACTATTATTTAGCTTTGCTAGGTTGAGACAGTGCAACATATTGGATCTTATTTATTTTGGTCTAATTTATTTGTATTTATCATATTTTTATATGTTTAGTAGCTTGAGGAAGTGCGCTCCAAAATATTTGTTGATCTTGTTTATTGGTATTTATTATTTTGATATTATTTATTTAAATGTATAATTTTATTTATTTTTGTATTGGTTTTTCAGTTGAATTATGCATTCAGGGTAATCAACAGTTAAAAAGATACTGTTCAAATTATTATTTGTATTTAAAAGTTCAATAAATGGATGTTTTCAAAGTCAATGAATAATCGTATTTAATAATCGTGATATCAATTATTGACCAAAATAATCGTGATTATGATTTTTGCCATAATCGAGCAGCCCTAAATACAACATTAAAATAATATATTAAAAATAAAGTAAAAAAAACAAGACTATTTGTTATTTACAGCCTGATATTATTTGGTACACAAACATTTAAAAATGTTAAAACTAATAATGCGGTGTATTTTGGTATGTGAGAGGTGAGAGAGAGACAGATGAGAGAGAGACAGGTGAGAGAGAGACAGGTGAGAGAGAGACAGGTGAGAGACAGACAGGTGAGAGACAGACAGGTGAGAGAGAGACAGGTGAGAGACAGACAGGTGAGAGAGAGACAGGTGAGAGACAGACAGGTGAGAGACAGACAGGTGAGAGACAGACAGGTGAGAGAGAGACAGGTGAGAGACAGACAGGTGAGAGAGAGACAGGTGAGAGAGAGACAGGTGAGAGAGAGACAGGTGAGAGACAGACAGGTGAGAGACAGACAGGTGGAGACAGACAGGTGGAGACAGACAGGTGAGAGACAGACAGGTGAGAGACAGACAGGTGAGAGAGAGACAGGTGAGAGAGAGACAGGTGAGAGAGAGACAGGTGAGACACAGACAGGTGAGAGACAGACAGGTGAGAGAGAGACAGGTGAGAGAGAGAGAAGAGAGACAGGTGGAGACAGGCAGGTGAGAGACTGACAGGTGAGAGAGAGAGAGAGAGAGAGAGAGAGAGAGAGAGAGAGAGAGAGAGAGAGAGAGAGAGAGAGAGAGAGAGGGTCTACAGACTCACCTGAGAGAGACAGGGTCTACAGACTCACCTGAGAGAGACAGGGTCTACAGACTCACCTGAGAGAGACAGGGTGTACAGACTGACCTGAGTGAGGCAGGGTCTACAGACTCACCTGAGAGAGACAGGGTCTACAGACTCACCTGAGAGAGACAGGGTGTACAGACTCACCTGAGAGAGACAGGGTCTACAGACTCACCTGAGAGAGACAGGGTCTACAGAGAGACAGGGTGTACAGACTCACCTGAGAGAGACAGGGTCTACAGACTCACCTGAGAGAGACAGGGTGTACAGACTCACCTGAGAGAGACAGGGTGTACAGACTGACCTGAGTGAGGCAGGGTCTACAGACTCACCTGAGAGAGACAGGGTCTACAGACTCACCTGAGAGAGACAGGGTGTACAGACTCACCTGAGAGAGACAGGGTGTACAGACTCACCTGAGAGAGACAGGGTGTACAGACTCACCTGAGAGAGACAGGGTCTACAGAGAGGCAGGGTCTACAGACTCACCTGAGAGAGACAGGGTGTACAGACTCACCTGAGAGAGACAGGGTGTACAGACTCACCTGAGAGAGACAGGGTCTACAGACTCACCTGAGAGAGACAGGGTCTACAGACTCACCTGAGAGAGACAGGGTGTACAGACTCACCTGAGAGAGACAGGGTCTACAGAGAGGCAGGGTGTACAGACTCACCTGAGAGAGACAGGGTCTACAGAGAGACAGGGTCTACAGACTGACCTGAGAGAGACAGGGTCTACAGACTGACCTGAGAGAGACAGGGTCTACAGACTCACCTGAGAGAGACAGGGTCTACAGACTCACCTGAGAGAGACAGGGTCTACAGACTCACCTGAGAGAGACAGGGTCTACAGACTGACCTGAGAGAGACAGGGTCTACAGACTCACCTGAGAGAGACAGGGTCTACAGACTCACCTGAGAGAGACAGGGTGTACAGACTCACCTGAGAGAGACAGGGTCTACAGACTCACCTGAGAGAGACAGGGTGTACAGACTCACCTGAGAGAGACAGGGTCTACAGAGAGGCAGGGTCTACAGACTCACCTGAGAGAGACAGGGTGTACAGACTCACCTGAGAGAGACAGGGTCTACAGACTCACCTGAGAGAGACAGGGTCTACAGACTCACCTGAGAGAGACAGGGTGTACAGACTCACCTGAGAGAGACAGGGTGTACAGACTCACCTGAGAGAGACAGGGTCTACAGAGAGGCAGGGTGTACAGACTCACCTGAGAGAGACAGGGTCTACAGACTCACCTGAGAGAGACAGGGTCTACAGACTGACCTGAGAGAGACAGGGTCTACAGACTGACCTGAGAGAGACAGGGTCTACAGACTCACCTGAGAGAGACAGGGTCTACAGACTCACCTGAGAGAGACAGGGTCTACAGACTGACCTGAGAGAGACAGGGTCTACAGACTCACCTGAGAGAGACAGGGTCTACAGACTGACCTGAGAGAGACAGGGTCTACAGACTCACCTGAGAGAGACAGGGTCTACAGACTCACCTGAGAGAGACAGGGTCTACAGACTCACCTGAGTGAGGCAGGGTGTACAGACTCACCTGAGAGAGACAGGGTCTACAGACTCACCTGAGAGAGACAGGGTCTACAGACTCACCTGAGAGAGACAGGGTCTACAGACTCACCTGAGTGAGGCAGGGTGTACAGACTCACCTGAGAGAGACAGGGTCTACAGACTCACCTGAGAGAGACAGGGTCTACAGACTCACCTGAGAGAGACAGGGTCTACAGACTCACCTGAGAGAGACAGGGTGTACAGACTCACCTGAGAGAGACAGGGTCTACAGACTCACCTGAGAGAGACAGGGTCTACAGACTCACCTGAGTGAGGCAGGGTGTACTGCTCGTAGAGCTTAACGTTGCCTTGGCAGTACGTCTCCTTCGAAGCTCTCGCATCGGCCAGTTCTGGACCCTTGTTCCAGCTCTCTGCGTTCTTCACTCCAAACTCAGTGTATCCAACAAACTCCCCCACACTGCTGTCGAACCTGATCAACTCCAACTTGTTGTAATAGTATGAGTTGATGTACTGGATGTCCTTCTGCTCAGAGGAGGTGAACTCACAACGGACAGTCACATATTGCAGATATCCATCTGAAGCAGAGAAAGAGAGTCAGAGTGAGTCTCAGTTTGTCTCAGTTTGTCTCAGTTTGACTCAGTTTGTCTCAGTCTGTCTCAGTTTGTCTCAGTCTGTCTCAGTTTGTCTCAGCTTGTCTCAGCTTGTCTCAGTCTGTCTCAGCTTGTCTCAGTTTGTCTCAGTTTGTCTCAGTTTGTCTCAGCTTGTCTCAGCTTGTCTCAGCTTGTCTCAGTTTGTCTCAGTTTGTCTCAGTCTGTCTCAGCTTGTCTCAGCTTGTCTCAGTTTGTCTCAGTTAGTCTCAGTTAGTCTCAGTTTGTCTCAGTTTGTCTCAGTGAGTCTCAGTTTGTCTCAGTTTGTCTCAGTTTGTCTCAGTTTGTCTCAGTTTGTCTCAGTGAGTATCAGTTTGTCTCAGTTTGTCTCAGTTTGTCTCAGTTTGTCTCAACTTGTCTCAGTTTGTCTCAGCTTGTCTCAGTTAGTCTCAGTGTGTCTCAGTTTGTCTCAGCTTGTCTCAGTTAGTCTCAGTTTGTCTCAGTTTGTCTCAGTTTGTCTCAGCTTGTCTCAGCTTGTCTCAGTTTGTCTCAGCTTGTCTCAGCTTGTCTCAGTTTGTCTCAGTTTGTCTCAGCTTGTCTCAGTTTGTCTCAGTGAGTCTCAGTTTGTCTCAGTTTGTCTCAGCTTGTCTCAGTTTGTCTCAGCTTGTCTCAGTTTGTCTCAGTTTGTCTCAGCTTGTCTCAGTTAGTCTCAGTGTGTCTCAGTTTGTCTCTGCTTGTCTCAGTTAGTCTCAGTGTGTCTCAGCTTGTCTCAGTTAGTCTCAGTTTGTCTCAGTTTGTCTCAGTTTGTCTCAGTGAGTCTCAGTTTGTCTCAGTTTGTCTCAGTTTGTCTCAGTTTGTCTCAGTCTGTCTCAGTTTGTCTCAGTCTGTCTCAGTTTGTCTCAGCTTGTCTCAGCTTGTCTCAGTCTGTCTCAGCTTGTCTCAGTTTGTCTCAGTTTGTCTCAGTTTGTCTCAGTTTGTCTCAGCTTGTCTCAGCTTGTCTCAGCTTGTCTCAGTTTGTCTCAGTTTGTCTCAGTCTGTCTCAGCTTGTCTCAGCTTGTCTCAGTTTGTCTCAGTTAGTCTCAGTTAGTCTCAGTTTGTCTCAGTTTGTCTCAGTGAGTATCAGTTTGTCTCAGTTTGTCTCAGTTTGTCTCAGTTTGTCTCAGTTTGTCTCAGTGAGTATCAGTTTGTCTCAGTTTGTCTCAGTTTGTCTCAGTTTGTCTCAACTTGTCTCAGTTTGTCTCAGCTTGTCTCAGTTAGTCTCAGTGTGTCTCAGTTTGTCTCAGTTTGTCTCAGCTTGTCTCAGTTAGTCTCAGTTTGTCTCAGTTTGTCTCAGTTTGTCTCAGCTTGTCTCAGCTTGTCTCAGCTTGTCTCAGTTTGTCTCAGTTTGTCTCAGCTTGTCTCAGTTTGTCTCAGTGAGTCTCAGTTTGTCTCAGTTTGTCTCAGCTTGTCTCAGTTAGTCTCAGCTTGTCTCAGTTTGTCTCAGTTTGTCTCAGCTTGTCTCAGTTAGTCTCAGTGTGTCTCAGTTTGTCTCTGCTTGTCTCAGTTAGTCTCAGTGTGTCTCAGCTTGTCTCAGTTAGTCTCAGTTTGTCTCAGTTTGTCTCAGTTTGTCTCAGTGAGTCTCAGTTTGTCTCAGTTTGTCTCAGTTTGTCTCAGTTTGTCTCAGTCTGTCTCAGTTTGTCTCAGTCTGTCTCAGTTTGTCTCAGCTTGTCTCAGCTTGTCTCAGTCTGTCTCAGCTTGTCTCAGTTTGTCTCAGTTTGTCTCAGTTTGTCTCAGTTTGTCTCAGCTTGTCTCAGCTTGTCTCAGCTTGTCTCAGTTTGTCTCAGTTTGTCTCAGTCTGTCTCAGCTTGTCTCAGCTTGTCTCAGTTTGTCTCAGTTAGTCTCAGTTAGTCTCAGTTTGTCTCAGTTTGTCTCAGTGAGTATCAGTTTGTCTCAGTTTGTCTCAGTTTGTCTCAGTTTGTCTCAGTTTGTCTCAGTTTGTCTCAGTTTGTCTCAACTTGTCTCAGTTTGTCTCAGCTTGTCTCAGTTAGTCTCAGTGTGTCTCAGTTTGTCTCAGCTTGTCTCAGTTAGTCTCAGTTTGTCTCAGTTTGTCTCAGTTTGTCTCAGCTTGTCTCAGCTTGTCTCAGTTTGTCTCAGCTTGTCTCAGCTTGTCTCAGTTTGTCTCAGTTTGTCTCAGCTTGTCTCAGTTTGTCTCAGTGAGTCTCAGTTTGTCTCAGTTTGTCTCAGCTTGTCTCAGTTAGTCTCAGCTTGTCTCAGTTTGTCTCAGTTTGTCTCAGCTTGTCTCAGTTAGTCTCAGTGTGTCTCAGTTTGTCTCTGCTTGTCTCAGTTAGTCTCAGTGTGTCTCAGCTTGTCTCAGTTAGTCTCAGTTTGTCTCAGTTTGTCTCAGTTTGTCTCAGTGAGTCTCAGCTTGTCTCAGTTTGTCTCAGTTTGTCTCAGCTTGTCTCAGTTTGTCTCAGTGAGTCTCAGCTTGTCTCAGTTAGTCTCAGCTTGTCTCAGTTTGTCTCAGTTTGTCTCAGTGTGTCTCAGTTTGTCTCAGCTTGTCTCAGTTAGTCTCAGTTTGTCTCAGTTTGTCTCAGTTTGTCTCAGCTTGTCTCAGCTTGTCTCAGTTTGTCTCAGCTTGTCTCAGCTTGTCTCAGTTTGTCTCAGTTTGTCTCAGCTTGTCTCAGTTTGTCTCAGTGAGTCTCAGTTTGTCTCAGTTTGTCTCAGCTTGTCTCAGTTAGTATCAGCTTGTCTCAGTTTGTCTCAGTTTGTCTCAGCTTGTCTCAGTTAGTCTCAGTGTGTCTCAGTTTGTCTCTGCTTGTCTCAGTTAGTCTCAGTGTGTCTCAGCTTGTCTCAGTTAGTCTCAGTTTGTCTCAGTTTGTCTCAGTTTGTCTCAGTGAGTCTCAGCTTGTCTCAGTTTGTCTCAGTTTGTCTCAGCTTGTCTCAGTTTGTCTCAGTGAGTCTCAGCTTGTCTCAGTTAGTCTCAGCTTGTCTCAGTTTGTCTCAGTTTGTCTCAGTGTGTCTCAGTTTGTCTCAGTGAGTCTCAGTTTGTCTCAGTTTGTCTCAGCTTGTCTCAGTTAGTCTCAGCTTGTCTCAGTTTGTCTCAGTTTGTCTCAGCTTGTCTCAGTTAGTCTCAGTGTGTCTCAGTTTGTCTCAGCTTGTCTCAGTTAGTCTCAGTGTGTCTCAGTTTGTCTCAGCTTGTCTCAGTTAGTCTCAGTTTGTCTCAGTTTGTCTCAGTTTGTCTCAGTGAGTATCAGTTTGTCTCAGTTTGTCTCAGTTTGTCTCAGTGAGTATCAGTTTGTCTCAGTTTGTCTCAGCTTGTCTCAGTTTGGCTCAGTTTGTCTCAGTTTGTCTCAGTTTGTCTCAGTTTGTCTCAGCTTGTCTCAGTTTGTCTCAGTTTGTCTCAGTTTGTCTCAGTTTGTCTCAGCTTGTCTCAGTTTGTCTCAGTGTGTCTCAGTGTGTCTCAGTTTGTCTCAGTTTGTCTCAGTTTGTCTCAGTTTGTCTCAGTTTGTCTCAGCTTGTCTCAGTTTGTCTCAGTTTGTCTCAGTTTGTCTCAGTTTGTCTCAGCTTGTCTCAGTTTGTCTCAGTGTGTCTCAATGAGTATCAGTTTGTCTCAGCTTGTCTCAGTGTGTCTCATCTTGTCTCAGTGAGTCTCAGCTTGTCTCAATGAGTATCAGTTTGTCTCAGTTTGTCTCAGTCTGTCTCAGCTTGTCTCAGCTTGTCTCAGTTTGTCTCAGTTAGTCTCAGTTAGTCTCAGTTTGTCTCAGTTTGTCTCAGTGAGTATCAGTTTGTCTCAGTTTGTCTCAGTTTGTCTCAGTTTGTCTCAGTTTGTCTCAGTGAGTATCAGTTTGTCTCAGTTTGTCTCAGTTTGTCTCAGTTTGTCTCAACTTGTCTCAGTTTGTCTCAGCTTGTCTCAGTTAGTCTCAGTGTGTCTCAGTTTGTCTCAGCTTGTCTCAGTTAGTCTCAGTTTGTCTCAGTTTGTCTCAGTTTGTCTCAGCTTGTCTCAGCTTGTCTCAGTTTGTCTCAGCTTGTCTCAGCTTGTCTCAGTTTGTCTCAGTTTGTCTCAGCTTGTCTCAGTTTGTCTCAGTGAGTCTCAGTTTGTCTCAGTTTGTCTCAGCTTGTCTCAGTTAGTCTCAGCTTGTCTCAGTTTGTCTCAGTTTGTCTCAGCTTGTCTCAGTTAGTCTCAGTGTGTCTCAGTTTGTCTCTGCTTGTCTCAGTTAGTCTCAGTGTGTCTCAGCTTGTCTCAGTTAGTCTCAGTTTGTCTCAGTTTGTCTCAGTTTGTCTCAGTGAGTCTCAGTTTGTCTCAGTTTGTCTCAGTTTGTCTCAGTTTGTCTCAGTCTGTCTCAGTTTGTCTCAGTCTGTCTCAGTTTGTCTCAGCTTGTCTCAGCTTGTCTCAGTCTGTCTCAGCTTGTCTCAGTTTGTCTCAGTTTGTCTCAGTGAGTATCAGTTTGTCTCAGTTTGTCTCAGTTTGTCTCAGTTTGTCTCAGTTTGTCTCAGTGAGTATCAGTTTGTCTCAGTTTGTCTCAGTTTGTCTCAGTTTGTCTCAACTTGTCTCAGTTTGTCTCAGCTTGTCTCAGTTAGTCTCAGTGTGTCTCAGTTTGTCTCAGCTTGTCTCAGTTAGTCTCAGTTTGTCTCAGTTTGTCTCAGTTTGTCTCAGCTTGTCTCAGCTTGTCTCAGTTTGTCTCAGCTTGTCTCAGTTTGTCTCAGTTTGTCTCAGCTTGTCTCAGTTTGTCTCAGTTTGTCTCAGTTTGTCTCAGCTTGTCTCAGTTTGTCTCAGTGAGTCTCAGCTTGTCTCAGTTAGTCTCAGCTTGTCTCAGTTTGTCTCAGTTTGTCTCAGTGTGTCTCAGTTAGTCTCAGCTTGTCTCAGTTTGTCTCAGTTTGTCTCAGCTTGTCTCAGTTAGTCTCAGTGTGTCTCAGTTTGTCTCAGCTTGTCTCAGTTTGTCTCAGTTTGTCTCAGTTTGTCTCAGTGTGTCTCAGTTTGTCTCAGTTTGTCTCAGTTTGTCTCAGTTTGTCTCAACTTGTCTCAGTTTGTCTCAGCTTGTCTCAGTTAGTCTCAGTGTGTCTCAGTTTGTCTCAGCTTGTCTCAGTTAGTCTCAGTTTGTCTCAGTTTGTCTCAGTTTGTCTCAGCTTGTCTCAGCTTGTCTCAGTTTGTCTCAGCTTGTCTCAGCTTGTCTCAGTTTGTCTCAGTTTGTCTCAGCTTGTCTCAGTTTGTCTCAGTGAGTCTCAGTTTGTCTCAGTTTGTCTCAGCTTGTCTCAGTTAGTCTCAGCTTGTCTCAGTTTGTCTCAGTTTGTCTCAGCTTGTCTCAGTTAGTCTCAGTGTGTCTCAGTTTGTCTCTGCTTGTCTCAGTTAGTCTCAGTGTGTCTCAGCTTGTCTCAGTTAGTCTCAGTTTGTCTCAGTTTGTCTCAGTTTGTCTCAGTGAGTCTCAGCTTGTCTCAGTTTGTCTCAGTTTGTCTCAGCTTGTCTCAGTTTGTCTCAGTGAGTCTCAGCTTGTCTCAGTTAGTCTCAGCTTGTCTCAGTTTGTCTCAGTTTGTCTCAGTGTGTCTCAGTTTGTCTCAGTGAGTCTCAGTTTGTCTCAGTTTGTCTCAGCTTGTCTCAGTTAGTCTCAGCTTGTCTCAGTTTGTCTCAGCTTGTCTCAGTTAGTCTCAGTGTGTCTCAGTTTGTCTCAGTTTGTCTCAGTTTATCTCAGCTTGTCTCAGTTTGGCTCAGTTTGTCTCAGTTTGTCTCAGTTTGTCTCAGTTTGTCTCAGTTTGTCTCAGTTTGTCTCAGTTTGTCTCAGCTTGTCTCAGTTTGTCTCAGTGTGTCTCAGTGTGTCTCAGTTTGTCTCAGTTTGTCTCAGTTTGTCTCAGTTTGTCTCAGTTTGTCTCAGCTTGTCTCAGTTTGTCTCAGTTTGTCTCAGTTTGTCTCAGTTTGTCTCAGCTTGTCTCAGTTTGTCTCAGTGTGTCTCAATGAGTATCAGTTTGTCTCAGCTTGTCTCAGTGAGTCTCAGCTTGTCTCAATGAGTATCAGTTTGTCTCAGCTTGTCTCAGTGTGTCTCATCTTGTCTCAGTGAGTCTCAGCTTGTCTCAATGAGTATCAGTTTGTCTCATCTTGTCTCAGTGTGTCTCATCTTGTCTCAGTGTGTCTCAGCTTGTCTCAATGAGTATCAGTTTGTCTCAGTTTGTCTCAGTTTGTCTCAGTGAGTCTCAGTTTGTCTCAGTTTGTCTCAGTGAGTCTCAGCTTGTCTCAGTGTGTCTCATCTTGTCTCAGGTACAGTGAATACAGTAATATGAATGAAAGTTATGGAGGGTACCTGCTGTGTAGACGCTGAGGAAGAGCAGGCAGACGCTGAGGAAAGAAGCCATGATCCTCTCTTGACTTCACAAACTCTGACACAGTTTCCCTGAGAGCGCTCTAACAACCAGAGAGACGTCAGCTGACCTGCAGCGTCATCTGTTGCTAGGTAGACCATCCAGGGTAAAATTACCCTGAGAGAAGAGAGACGTCAGCTGACCTGCAGAGAGAAGAGAGAGAGAAGAGAGACGTCAGCTGACCTGCAGCGTCATCTGTTGCTAGGTAGACAATCCAGGGTAAAATCATCCTGAGAGAAGAGAGAAAGAAGAGAGAGAGAAGAGAGAGAGAAGAGAGAGAGAAGAGAGAGAGAAGAGAGAGAGAAGAGAGAGAGAAGAGAGAGAGAAGAGAGAGACACAGAAGCCTCGTCTCAATACCCCTCATCGACTCCTCCTTTCCCTCACTCGCGTCCCTTCCTTGCGTCTTAGCTCCGCCTCCGTAAGATGCGAGCAAGAGACACGAGGAGGTGACGCGAGGACAGAGGAGTCCTCAGGTATTAATTGGGATGTCCTCGTTCACTCAAACGTCACTCTTAAACGACGTCTGTTAATGATGACATGTGCACAGCTGTATCCCCTCTCATTGGGCTCAACTGAATAACCTTTAGAACCTTTAGAACCTTTAGAACCTTTAGAACCGGCCCATTTGTTGTTCAATATGTATTTAAATGATGAATCTTTCTCTTGTTAGTCAAGGAATTCAATGTATGATGGTTGGTCCTGCTTTTGTGTTCCGTTTTGGTGTAAAATGTACATTTCAATAAAATTATAATTATAATAATGTGAAAGCCTTTACTCTGAACATGTGTGTCCTGTAGATCCCCACATTCACCACAAACCAACATTCAGGACTGTGCATTTTAAAGGGGACCTATCATGCAAAATGCACTTTTGTACGTCTTTTCTACATGAATATGTGTCCCCGGTGTTCCAGGGAACTCACCAAGTGTCAGAAAACACAACCCTCTCTATTTTCCTCCATACCCAAATCTCTAAAAAAGGGGCCGCAACGGATCTGATAAAAACTGATCCAGATTTGAACACTGTCCTGACGTCAGGACGGTGGCGCTACGGCTATTGGGCCAACTCCACCAATCAGGAGGAGACAGCCACGGCCATTGCCGTTCGAAAGCGCTGGAGACGCTGTAGTACATATGCCAGGCCTGTAAGTGGCGCTGTAGTCTGCCACAAAAGCAGCGAAGAAGACTTCCCACCCATAGTTACCATGGTTACCCTTCTGTTTATTCTCCGCTGTGGCTTTTTTTCTCCCTCCCCGAGGCAAGCGTTTGCTCCCGCTGCTTTAATTCAATGCAATCCCTCCCCGTCGAGGCAAGCACTGTAATTCTCTCCGGTTAGTCCACCAGCAGATGACAAACACCCACCTCTCCGCCTCTTCCAAGGAACCAGGGGGGCGTGGTCAGCAGAATCAGACCCGTAGACAGCAAACAGCATACGAAGCCGGATGTTCTCTTAGCTGACTTCAGGGAAAACTCTGGCTTTCCGGTCCTACGACGCTGGTTCTCTTTTTAGCGGGCTAGATCTCCATGGTAACTGATGCTGAGCGGCTAACCTGCTCGAGAGCAGGTTAGGTTGCAGGCTAAGAGATCAACTCAGTGAAAGCACCGCCTGCTGACCAATCAGAGCTCAGTGTGCGGAGTTTAAAGATATCAAGTCATATTACCAGGCGCGCCGGATTCATTTTAGAAGTGGGGGGGCCAAAAAAGTGCGTGTGTATGGCCCAATCCCAAACCACGCCCTACACCCTACCCCTACACACTCCCCCTCCGTGACGGAGTGAACTCCGTGGAGTGACACATGAGGCTCCCTCCTGTCAGATGGAGGGAGTAGATACAGCGGCAAGCTTTGGGACAAACTCCCCTCTCTCCGGCAGAAACAGGAAGTGCCGTAACTGTATCAACGGTTTCAAATCAGCATCTCTTTGACACAACATGTAAATTAATAACTAAAATAAAACTCCAAACATCTCTAATTGTGTTACTTTTTTGTAAAGCTCTTTTAGTTTTAAACCTGATGTTTATAAGTTTCTTAGTTTTTGCAACAGTCTGTAAATATACACAACTTTATAATAAAATGCACACATTGACCTTTCTCTAGACTAACCACAGGTAGATCCTCAGTTAAAACAATATGAGGTTATCATGAGGTTGTTAACATCGCAGTTTATCAGTGGATGTTTGCTGGAAGCACAATAACTGCATGTTTTGCATTGCTTTTAAATGTCAGTTAATATAGTGGTGAGAGACTCCCGATACATTAGATTTATAAGTTCATTAATTGTCTCATGATGCATATTTCCCGGTGAGCATGAAGCTCTTCAGAGTGGGGTTTTTCTCAGCTACGAGTTCTTTTGGAAATTGCTCTCCTTATCCGCATGCCCCCTGATTGCTCTGTCGGGTTAGAAACTGCAGACAGCGCAGTTGCTCCATCATTCCATCTCTTCTTTTTCCTGCTCAATACGCTGTTGTTTGACAAGCTGTATGTTGACTGGTGTTTGACTGAAGAAAGCGCACTTTAATACACTCTCTGTGGAAATGAGACTTTTCGTGGCTGTCCAGGAGGCTTGGGCACTTTTTCCAGTTATTAACTCCGATATTAACAAAGCTATCATCTCCACATTTTGAGAAAGTTACAAGCCGTTTGACAGCAAATCTGCATATTCCACAGAAGGCCCGTTTAGTGGTTTTGCAAAGAATTAACCACTCTCTGTTTTTGTACCATTCTGCGTTGAAGTACCTTTCTCTTTGCCCAAATAATCTAGCGGTCAGTTAGCTGCAGCTTTACCCGTCTCAATGTCCCGACAACAAACCTCCATGCAGTCGGAACCAGCCTGTTTCGGTTCAACGACGGCGGTGGCGGCGGTTTTGACAGTCTCTGCGGCCGCAGAGCTGCTGCTTTTGGGTTCATCTGGCTTCGCTGGTTCTATGATTGATGAAGGTCCAGGCTCCGGAGACGTGGATGTCAGGGATGTGACCTTCCAGTTGTTAAATGTAAGTTTAGATTGACTGTATTTAGTTTTCTTCTGCGCTGGTTCTTCTGACGTGTTTGCAAGTGTATCTATTCTTTCTATCTGGTTAACGGCTGACACACACAGAACAACTGTACAACAATGTATTTTTGCGTTTGTGTGTATTGTTTGTTTCCCGGGGAAAACACTCACGAGAAACACCGGCTGCTGTAATGCCTGCTGTGACGTCAAGTTACTCCGTTCTCCGCTTGTAATTATGCCGTTAGCTTCAAAGTTGTATTTATCATCTGAATTTGCTGAAACAAGTTTAATATTCTGAAAGCCAAGACTTTGTTTATTTGAAATCAGATAAAAACAAACTGTAACGGAGCGTCCACACAGCAGCGTTAAAAAAATCTTGGAGGTGGGCGTATCTGAAGCTTGGGGATTTTTTGCGAGCAAGGCACCAACAACCAATCACATGAATCTCCCGCCCCCGACATACGAAGCAAAAAAGCCCGAAGTAAACTGGATATAAACTCCCCAAACAGGCGAAAAGCTACCACTGTCTCTGCCACCTCCCTCCATGCCTGGCTCCTCCGGTTTGTATCCCGGTAGGTAAATAGGGACTGGTCATAAAGCACCGGGTGATTCCCTACCTCTAACTTCTCCTCCATGTTTTGGAATATGAGGAAATGACCTGCGGTATGTCTCTCCCAGCATACACGCGGTTTGATTGGCTAGCGCTTGAACTGTCAGATTTGCGTACACAGGATTTGATTGGCTAGCGCTTGAACTGTCAGATTTGCATACACGGGATTTGATTGGCTGACGCTTCCACCTCAGCTTCAAAAGTTGAACATTGCTCAACTTTGAATCCTGAAAATCTTGAAAATCTCCGCTCTGCTTCCCACAATGCAGTTCGGCGAAACGTGAGGCAAAGTGACGTCACCCCATTCAAAGTGAATGGGCAGAAGCGTTTCAAGATTTTTTAACGCTGCTGTGTGGACGGGCCGTTACGGACCCTGCCGTGTTATCTATGATTACTATACGCCTTACATTCATAATTTCAGCAGAGGGAGGGGAAGCGGCGCTGTGGAACAACAGAGTGGCGAGTGAGAGCTGTCATCTTCCCTTTACAAGCTTCAAAAATGCCTGTAGCTAATGAGATTGAATATAACAATCAAACATAACAAAATATACACAGCTAGATCAGATCGCGTTTTAGATGCGATTTTAGAGTAGAGGGGAATTATTGAAACGGGATTTGTACAGTGTTCTGCGGCATCCGCTGCTGCGAAAATGTGGGGCAGGGCTCAAAAGTGGGGGGGCCAATGGCCCCCCCACTTCCGGCACCCTTGCATATTACAGGATAGAGGAAATACAGAAAAACTGCCGTTGCAGGAAAGACGGCCGGCAAAAATCACCTGACTGTGTGAACGTGAAAATTAATAGAATATCCCCTCCTCCCATCTTCAGAGCAATCTGACTATTATAACATTAGCGTTAAGAAAGCTTACTTAAATATCTGCCACAACATAAGTAACCGGATCAGAGTAACATTAAGTACAGTCCGCGGCACTGTGAGTGCAGACGTAGATGTGTCCCATTATCATTCATATCATATCACATCATAATGTATCATATATTTCCTTATCTGAGTCAGCTGAGCCGTATCTGGCCGTGCAACACTCACAGTGTCACATACTGGATGCAGAAGTATTATTTTAAGCAACACATTAAGTTGACGAAACACTCGAGTCAAATGTAATTAAAGTCAGATGGTGTCTTAGACGGAGCAGTGATATCATAAACCTGTTAATGTACGCATTCAAACACTTTCTCTGTTACCAGCTGTATTCACCTTGCAGGTGCAGCTATGTGGCTTTGATCCTGGATAAAGTGTTTAAGTCATGGATGTTTAAAGTTTAACTTCTTCATATTTGACTAATATTAAAGTTCACTTTTCATTCAGGAAGTATGACGCTGCGCTGTCAGTACGCTTGTCCATGGCCAACTGGCTAACTCAAACATATCCAGGTTAGGTTGAACCGGCTTCGTAGTACAGGCCTCTGGACTGTCACAGTCTGAAACCTCTTTAGACTGTGACAAGGTTTTTACAGAGACTGTTTTATTCGTGGTACTGGCTACAAGAAAAATAATGCAGGAAACTGGGAATCAAACAGATAGGGTTCATTCCTAGAACACATAGAGAGAGTATATGAAGCCTGGGCTGAGAGCCAGCTGATTAGCACTTAGTGTGAGGGTCATAGATCCCCCACCTGGCCCAATCCCCTTCCTCTACCTGTGTGTTAACCAATGAGGACACTGGAGGTGGTCTACATGTGAACATGATGATAAAGACACAACTAAGAGAAGCTCAATCTTTATTTAGAACAGGTTTCATTAGAGGTCATTCAGAGAGTTCAGGGAACATCAGGAAACAGTTTCAGACAGGTTTCATTCGAGGTGTAAACTAAAGGATCACAGCATTATTATCAGAGCTAGAACCAGCAGAGCCTGTCTTCATCCTGCTGCCCTGCGTCAACATGCCTTCAGGCCCCACACATTTTCATATGATTATGATTTACTTCTACTTCCACATCTGTTAGATATATTTTACACAGTGGGGAGATGATCATGTGATCATGCGATGATGTGATCATGTGATCATGTGATCATGTGATGATGTGATCATGCGATGATGTGATCATGTGATGATGTGATCATGTGATCATGTGATCATGTGATGATCATGTGATCATGCGATGATGTGATCATGTGATCATGTGATCATGTGATGATCATGTGATCATGTGATCATGTGATCATGTGATCATGTGATCATGTGATGATGTGATCATGTGATCATGTGATCATGTGATCATGTGATGATGTGATGATGTGATGATGTGATGATGTGATGATGTGAGGATGTGATGATGTGATTATGTGATCATGTGATCTCCTCAGGTACTCAGGCTGGAGGCTGAGGGTCTTTCCCCCTGAACTCAGCTGCACTCGTTCCCTTTGATCAGGAAGAAGGTCCCAGCAGCCACTCCCAGAAGACCCACCGTCAGACCCAGAGCACAGAAGACTGCTGGTCCCACGCCGGGCTGAGACCCCTGCTCCTCTGGAGACAGAACAGAGACACCAGGTCAACATCTGGAGACAGACAACATCAGGTCAACATCTGGAGACACACAACATCAGGTCAACATCTGGAGACAGACAACATCAGGTCAACATCTGGAGACACACAACATCAGGTCAACATCTGGAGACACACAACACCAGGTCAACATCTGGAGACAGACAACATCAGGTCAACATCTGGAGACACACAACATCAGGTCAACATCTGGAGACACACAACACCAGGTCAACATCTGGAGACAGACAACATCAGGTCAACATCTGGAGACACACAACATCAGGTCAACATCTGGAGACAGACAACATCAGGTCAACATCTGGAGACACACAACATCAGGTCAACATCTGGAGACAGACAACATCAGGTCAACATCTGGAGACAGACAACATCAGGTCAACATCTGGAGACAGACAACATCAGGTCAACATCTGGAGACACACAACATCAGGTCAACATCTGGAGACAGACAACATCAGGTCAACATCTGGAGACACACAACATCAGGTCAACATCTGGAGACAGACAACATCAGGTCAACATCTGGAGACAGACAACAGAGACATTAGGTCAACATCTGGAGACAGACAACAGAGACATTAGGTCAACATCTGGAGACAGACAACAGAGACATTAGGTCAACATCTAGAGACAGAACACAGAGACATCAGGTCAACATCTGGAGACAGACAGACATCAGGTCTACATCTGGAAACAGGAACACCTGGAGACATCTGGAGACAGGAACACCTGGAGACAGGAACATCTGGAGACAGGAACACCTGGAGACAGGAACACCTGGAGACAGGAACATCTGGACACAGGAACACCTGGAGACAGGAACACCTGGAGACAGGAACATCTGGAGACAGGAACATCTGGAGACAGGAACACCTGGAGACAGGAACACCTGGAGACAGGAACATCTGGACACAGGAACATCTGGAGACAGGAACACCTGGAGACAGGAACACCTGGAGACAGGAACATCTGGAGACAGGAACACCTGGAGACAGGAACATCTGGAGACAGGAACATCTGGAGACAGGAACATCTGGACACAGGAACACCTGGAGACATCTGGAGACAGGAACACCTGGAGACAGGAACATCTGGAGACAGGAACACCTGGAGACAGGAACACCTGGAGATAGGAACATCTGGAGACAGGAACATCTGGAGACAGGAACATCTGGAGACAGGAACACCTGGAGACAGGAACATCTGGCCTCAGGTCAGTTTGTATTTGGTGTGAGTTCACATGAAGCTCTCACCCCAGAACGTGGTCAGCGGCTGGTCCAGAGCCAGATGTTGGACCCCACAGCTGTAGATGTCTCCCAGCTGGGGGGTGAACTCCAGTCTGGAGAACTGGCTGAAGGAACCCTCTTTGGAGAGGAAGGGAACGTTGATGCTGGTTCCTTCAGTCACGTTCTCTCCGTTCTTTGTCCAGAAGAAGCTCACAGGAGCCGGATAGAAACCGGTCACATGACAGACGAGGACGTTCCCCTCTCCCATCTCCACTTCCTGTTTGGTGTAGAGCAGCGGGGTGGAAGGAGGATCTGTGCAGAGACACTTCCTGTTAGATGATCGTCTAAGATTACACACACACACACACACACACACACACACACACACACACACACACACACACACACACACACACACACACACACACACACACACACACACACACACAGAGCATGTAATTGATTCTCTAACACAGTATAACATGTAACACAGTTCTTCAGGTTTGATGCTAACTGCATTTGGTCGTCTCACTGCGATGACAGTAATATAAATAAAGTGGGTTAATCTAAAGTCAGATGAGGGCTCATTGATTAAATGAATAAGTCTAAATTGTTTGGGAAGGTGAATACTTGTATATTAAATAGATTTAATAGGAATGCTGTTATAAACTTGGGTTGCATTGTGAGTGTATATTGATCACAAAGACACGTGCAGTCCGATGTGTTTAAATATCTGAGAGAGAAAGAGACAGAAGACGTTTACCTTTCTCCAGGGAGACGTTCTTGTAGAATTCACGGACTATTCCCAGGTTGAATCTGCAGGTCTGTAGTTCACCCTGAGCGAATTCATAAGAGCCACCAAGATGCTCCACAAAGCTGGGCTGAGCGTCCACTATTTTCCCTGCTTTGAAGTCAGCGTAATACAGCTCCTCTGCATCCAGAGCAAACATGTACTCCCCATCAGAGTCTGAACAGCCGAAGAACTGAAGGTGGTCATGTGGAACTGAAGAGAAACACAACATTCAACTGTTGGTAAACACTGACTGTTGGTAAACACTGACTGTTGGTAAACACTGACTGTTAGTAAACACTGACTGTTAGTAAACACTGACTGTTAGTAAACACTGACTGTTGGTAAACACTGACTGTTGGTAAACACTGACTGTTAGTAAACACTGACTGTTGGTAAACACTGACTGTTGGTAAACACTGACTGTTGGTAAACACTGACTGTTGGTAAACACTGACTGTTGGTAAACACTGACTGTTAGTAAACACTGACTGTTGGTAAACACTGACTGTTGGTAAACACTGACTGTTGGTAAACACTGACTGTTAGTAAACACTGACTGTTGGTAAACACTGACTGTTAGTAAACACTGACTGTTGGTAAACACTGACTGTTGGTAAACACTGACTGTTGGTAAACACTGAATGTTGGTAAACACTGACTGTTGGTAAACACTGACTGTTAGTAAACACTGACCTGTTAGTAAACACTGACTGTTGGTAAACACTGACTGTTGGTAAACACTGAATGTTAGTAAACACTGGCTGTTAGTAAACAGATTGTTTATCAGTAAATAAATTGTTTGTTTTGATCAGGAGTTGAACAGAAACTGACCGTCAGCTGAAACACAGAGGATCCCGCAGAGGAAGAGGAGCATCATCATCTTCATCATCATCATCATCATCATCTCTCTGAAGCTGTCTGTCTCTCTGTAGCTGTCTCTCTGTAGCTGTCTGTCTCTCTGTCTGTCTCTCTGTAGCTGTCTGTCTCTCTGTAGCTGTCTGTCTCTCTGTCTGTCTCTCTGTAGCTGTCTGTCTCTCTGTAGCTGTCTGTCTCTCTGTAGCTGTTTGTCTCTCTGAAGCTGTCTGTCTCTCTGTAGCTGTCTGTCTCTCTGTAGCTGTCTGTCTGTCTCTCTGCTGTCTGTCTGTCTCTCTGTAGCTGTCTGTCTCTCTGGAGCTGTCTGTCTCTCTGTCTCTCTGTAGCTGTCTGTCTGTCTCTCTGTAGCTGTCTGTCTCTCTGTAGCTGTCTGTCTCTCTGTAGCTGTCTGTCTCTCTGCAGCTGTCTGTCTGTCTCTCTGTAGCTGTCTGTCTCTCTGTAGCTGTCTGTCTCTCTGGAGCTGTCTGTCTGTCTGTAGCTGTCTCTCTGTCTCTCTGTAGCTGTCTGTCTCTCTGTCTGTCTCTCTGTAGCTGTCTGTCTCTCTAAAGTTGTCTGAACCGACTGACAGAAAGTTAGCAGCAGCCGGCTCTTAGAGTGTCAGCAGCCAATCAGAGAGCAGAGATTAAATGATGGTCATCAGTATCCGGGTAGAGGCAGCTGCTCTCTTTGATTACAGAGAGGACTGTAGAGGCTCTACTTTAAAGAGTCCTCTCCTGCTGATGTTCAGGTGTATATCAGTATGTAGTGTCTCTACTTTAAAGAGTCCTCTCCTGCTGATGTGCAGGTGTATATCAGTATGTAGTGTCTCTACTTTAAAGAGTCCTCTCCTGCTGATGTTCAGGTGTATATCAGTATGTAGTGTCTCTACTTTAAAGAGTCCTCTCCTGCTGATGTTCAGGTGTATATCAGTATGTAGTGTCTCTACTTTAAAGAGTCCTCTCCTGCTGATGTTCAGGTGTATATCAGTATGTAGTGTCTCTACTTTAAAGAGTCCTCTCCTGCTGATGTTCAGGTGTATATCAGTATGTAGAGTCTCTACTTTAAAGAGTCCTCTCCTGCTGATGTGCAGGTGTATATCAGTATGTAGTGTCTCTACTTTAAAGAGTCCTCTCCTGCTGATGTTCAGGTGTATATCAGTATGTAGTGTCTCTACTTTAAAGAGTCCTCTCCTGCTGATGTTCAGGTGTATATCAGTATGTAGTGTCTCTACTTTAAAGAGTCCTCTCCTGCTGATGTTCAGGTGTATATCAGTATGTAGTGTCTCTACTTTAAAGAGTCCTCTCCTGTATATCAGTGTGTAGTGTCTCTACTTTAAAGAGTCCTCTCCTGTATATCAGTGTGTAGTGTCTCTAATTTAAAGAGTCCTCTCCTGTATATCAGTGTGTAGTGTCTCTACTTTAAAGAGTCCTCTCCTGTATATCAGTGTGTAGTGTCTCTACTTTAAAGAGTCCTCTCCTGTATATCAGTATGCAGTGTCTCTACTTTAAAGAGTCCTCCCCTGTATATCAGTATGTAGTCTCTCTACTTTAAAGAGTCCTCTCCTGTATATCAGTGTGTAGTGTCTCTAATTTAAAGAGTCCTCTCCTGTATATCAGTGTGTAGTGTCTCTACTTTAAAGAGTCCTCTCCTGTATATCAGTGTGTAGTGTCTCTACTTTAAAGAGTCCTCTCCTGTATATCAGTATGTAGAGTCTCTACTTTAAAGAGTACTCTCCTGTATATCAGTATGTAGAGTCTCTACTTTAAAGAGTCCTCTCCTGTATATCAGTATGTAGAGTCTCTACTTTAAAGAGTACTCTCCTGTATATCAGTATGTAGTGTCTCTACTTTAAAGAGTACTCTCCTGTATATCAGTATGTAGAGTCTCTACTTTAAAGAGTCCTCTCCTGTATATCAGTATGTAGAGTCTCTACTTTAAAGAGTACTCTCCTGTATATCAGTATGTAGTGTCTCTACTTTAAAGAGTCCTCTCCTGTATATCAGTATGTAGTGTCTCTACTTTAAAGAGTCCTCTCCTGTATATCAGTATGCAGAGCCTCTACTTTAAAGAGTCCTCTCCTGTATATCAGTATGCAGAGCCTCTACTTTAAAGAGTCCTCTCCTGCTGATGTTCAGGTGTATGTCAGTATGTAGTGTCTCTACTTTAAAGAGTCCTCTCCTGCTGATGCTCAGGTGTATATCAGTATGTAGTGTCTCTACTTTAAAGAGTCCTCTCCTGTATATCAGTATGTAGTGTCTCTACTTTAAAGAGTCCTCTCCTGTATATCAGTGTGTAGTGTCTCTACTTTAAAGAGTCCTCTCCTGTATATCAGTATGTAGTGTCTCTACTTTAAAGAGTCCTCTCCTGCTGATGCTCAGGTGTATATCAGTATGTAGTGTCTCTACTTTAAAGAGTCCTCTCCTGCTGATGCTCAGGTGTATATCAGTATGTAGTGTCTCTACTTTAAAGAGTCCTCTCCTGTATATCAGTATGTAGTGTCTCTACTTTAAAGAGTCCTCTCCTGTATATCAGTATGTAGTGTCTCTACTTTAAAGAGTCCTCTCCTGTATATCAGTATGCAGAGTCTCTACTTTAAAGAGTCCTCTCCTGTATATCAGTATGTAGTGTCTCTACTTTAAAGAGTCCTCTCCTGCTGATGTTCAGGTGTATATCAGTATGTAGTGTCTCTACTTTAAAGAGTCCTCTCCTGCTGATGTTCAGGTGTATATCAGTATGTAGTGTCTCTACTTTAAAGAGTCCTCTCCTGCTGATGTTCAGGTGTATATCAGTATGTAGTGTCTCTACTTTAAAGAGTCCTCTCCTGCTGATGTTCAGGTGTATATCAGTATGTAGTGTCTCTACTTTAAAGAGTGCTCTCCTGTATATCAGTGTGTAGTGTCTCTACTTTAAAGAGTCCTCTCCTGTATATCAGTATGTAGTGTCTCTACTTTAAAGAGTCCTCTCCTGTATATCAGTATGCAGAGTCTCTACTTTAAAGAGTCCTCTCCTGTATATCAGTATGTAGTGTCTCTACTTTAAAGAGTCCTCTCCTGCTGATGTTCAGGTGTATATCAGTATGTAGTGTCTCTACTTTAAAGAGTCCTCTCCTGCTGATGTTCAGGTGTATATCAGTATGTAGTGTCTCTACTTTAAAGAGTCCTCTCCTGCTGATGTTCAGGTGTATATCAGTATGTAGTGTCTCTACTTTAAAGAGTCCTCTCCTGTATATCAGTATGTAGTGTCTCTACTTTAAAGAGTCCTCTCCTGTATATCAGTAGTATACGCAGAGCGACCACACGATGCCTTCAGGCGTCTCTGTGAAACCAGCTCTCCAGTTTCAGCTCACTGAGGATCAGCTGTGTTATGATGACACTGAGGTTTCCTGCTGCGCCTGAACGCAGCGTCAGGAACCAGTTCAAAGACTCTCTGATAAACTGAACAACAAAGTGTCATCTCTCCACTCAGATGGTAACACCCTCATGTTGTTTACCTCAGGGTCTACCTGTGAGTAGAGAAAGGTCAAAGTGTGCATGTTATAATAAAGTAGTGTATATTTACAGACTGTTATTAAACTAAGGAGCTCATGAACATCAGGTTTAACCCTAATAGTCATTCGGGACTATAGTGTTCACTTTGATAAAAACATTATAATAAACCACTTCTTTGTGTTCAATCTTTAAAGAAACTTCAGCCCTGATCAGAAATACCACATATGTCTGTGTGTGTGTGTGTGTGTGTGTGTGTGTGTGTGTGTGTGTGTGTGTGTGTGTGTGTGTGTGTGTGTGTGTGTGTGTGTGTGTGTGTGTGTGTGTGTGCGTGCAGCATCTGTTGTTGTGGTTCCTGTTTCTCTGATTTGTCACCTGACCCTGAACGCAGCGTCTCTGGAAAGTCCCGACGCTTTACTTTCACTTCCTGTTCAGCCAGCAGCCAATCAGAAAATGCGCTGCCGATGACTCATCAGTTACCAGGGGCAGCAGTTTGTGAGTGAACAGAGAGAGAGAGAGGCGGAGCTCAGACGCCCCCTGCAGGTGCATCAGGGCATAACACCTGTGGACGAGTTAAACTCACTCAGAGTGAAGGGATGAGAGAGAGAGCTGCAGCGCCCCCTGCAGGTGCATCAGGGCATAAGTTAAAGTCAAAGCCTTTTATTGTCATTGTACACAGAGTATAACGAGATTCAGAGTGCAACTCTGTCCCGGTGTGCAAAAAATACAAACACATACAGAACACTAAAAAACACGGCAATAGGACAGACAACATAAACAATCATACGGGGGAATAAATAGTTACAAATATTGATATAAAAATAGCATATAAAGTGCATTAAAAGTGTGTGTATGTGTGAGACTGGTTACGGTTATTGCATGATGTGTGGTGGTTTAGCAGCCTGACGGCCCGTGACTTGAAGCTCCTCTCTCTCCTCCCAGAAGGCAGGAGAGAGAACAGTCTGTGACCTGGGTGAGAGCTGTGCTTTATTATTGTGTTAGCTCTGCTGAGGCAGCGGGAGGTGGAGATGTGTTCCAGAGAGGGCAGGGGGCAGGGGGCAGAGGGCAGGGGGCAGAGGGCAGAGGGCAGAGGGCAGAGGGCAGGGGGCAGAGGGCAGAGGGCAGAGGGCAGAGGGCAGGGGGGCAGAGGGCAGAGGGCAGAGGGCAGGGGGCAGAGGGCAGAGGGCAGGGGGCAGAGGGCAGAGGGCAGAGGGCAGGGGGCAGAGGGCAGAGGGCAGAGGGCAGAGGGCAGGGGGCAGAGGGCAGAGGGCAGAGGGCAGAGGGCAGGGGGCAGAGGGCAGAGGGCAGAGGGCAGAGGGCAGAGGGCAGGGGGCAGAGGGCAGAGGGCAGAGGGCAGGGGGCAGAGGGCAGAGGGCAGAGGGCAGGGGGCAGAGGGCAGAGGGCAGAGGGCAGGGGGCAGGGGGCAGAGGGCAGAGGGCAGGGGGCAGAGGGCAGAGGGCAGAGGGCAGGGGGCAGAGGGCAGAGGGCAGAGGGCAGAGGGCAGGGGGCAGAGGGCAGAGGGCAGAGGGCAGAGGGCAGGGGGCAGAGGGCAGAGGGCAGAGGGCAG